GGGGGGGGGGGGGGGGGGGGGGGTTCTCCTGGGCCTTGCAGGGGAGGGTCCTAATTCAAAGAGAGAAAGTATTTTAATTAGCATTGCAGGTTGTCTTTTTTTTTTTTAAACTAGTAAATATTCTTTGTAGGCCTTGTATGACCACCTAATGGATTTCCTTGCGGACCGAGGGGTGGACAACACGTTTGCGGATGAGTTGGTGGAACTCAGTACAGCCCTGGAGCACCAGGAGTACATTACTTTTCTTGAAGACCTCAAAGGTTTTGTTAAGAGCCAATAGAGCAGGCAGTGAAAAGCCTTGATTTTATGGCAGGCTTTCGCCAGTGAACAAAACCTGCTCTGAAGTCAGACACATAATGCTTTGAAATGGTTATCATCCTAACATCATGGGAAAAATACCAGATTTAAATTATTTCTGCTGCAGTCATTTACTATTCATTTGCTTTTTCTGTACAAATCTCTTCTAGGTTTTTGTATAATATAATGATGGACAATAAAATTGGTTTGTCTCCCCCAAGGTAGTTTGTCTTTTCTATTCCTTCCTCTTCAACCTGCACCACAGAACACCAAGAGCAGAAATGTTTGAAGTTTTAATGCAAGATATAAAGATTTGTATATATAAGGCCTTTCTCAGAGGGAATGAGTTGCTGTCACCCGAGAAGAATGATGTGAGTCCAGGCTGGCTCTAGAGGATCACGGCCCAAGTATCACAAGCCTGGATTTAAATAGAAGAATAAGTTAGCTTAAATTGTATGAAAGTTATCATGGTTAAAGTTGTAATCAATAAATGACATTTATGCTGCAATTAGAATCCTACACACGAGATGATGCCAAAATAAGCAGAATTATATACCTTATGGAAGAAACCATAAAGGTGAAGTGCTGGCTGTGTTACTAGTCAATACTGCTTATGAGAAAAATGACCCCTACCGGTAAACTGCATTTGGAATGAAAGGGCCAAGAAGGAACTCTAAATACTCAATAGGAAGCCATGGCTTTGGACTTCCCGAAGTACAGTGTGCTCATAATCCCAAAGTTCCCCTTGTCTAGGACCTGGAAGCTATAATAATATATTATCATTATTATATTACCTTGATTATTATGAGATACTGGTTCCAATGCACACCTTCTAAGACAGGTGACTCCCATACCCACTTGTGTGGCCCTGTCCATCACACCTGAGTTGTCACTCGGGGGGTAGAGACTAACCCTTGGACCTCTGTGAAGACATGCTGAGACAAATCTGATGCTGCCCTGCTGTGCTTCCTGTCCTGTATCCTTCCACAAAAGTGGTGCCAGGGTGGCCACTCTGGGTCTTAGGACTAGGAATTGACCAGCTAAATCCAAGACCCTGGCTGCTGATCTAACAAGAACAGGCAGTGCAGCCAGGCCTCCTAATTCCCAGACAATGCTCCTGCCATGATCCTACACTGCCTCTTCCCTTACCCTTTCAGGAAATGACTCGTCTGTTAGTGGAAATGGCTTGTGACCTTCACTTTTATATGCAAGTAAGTTCCTCAGAAAATAAACTGCATTAAACCTGTTTCTAAGCCATATTTCTACCAAGGTGGGAATAAAAACAACCACTGACCTACTCTTGCCATTGACTGGGTCTCATGATAGGCTTACCAGACAGCTCATGAGAAGACTGGACGTTTCTTCTGTTTCTTCAGTGACTGAAAATTCAGGTGTGTAGGAACAATGTGCACTGTGCTCATTTATGCTATTCTCTAAGCAGGCACGAAGCTTCTGCTCTGTCAACTCTGGAGACTAAAAAATAAGTTCAACCACAACCTAATTTTAGTTGCTTGATAGTCAACAGGTTGAAAGTCCTGGTTCCCCATATCAACCAAAAAAGCTCTGGTTTGCTCTGATGGCTTGATTCCCTGGAGCTTCAAAGATACTCTTAGGCTTATAATTGTGCTAAGATCTCTTATGCAATCTCCATTTAACCACCTCTCTGGATTAACCAATGCTCTCCATACACACTGATTGCTGCTCATGGCATGAAGAACACTCAGAGCTACTAGGCTCCTTCCTAGCCTCCCTTTGCTTCTGACCCGACCAGCCAAGTATATCCTTACCAAGAATCAGCAGTTTGCTCCCAAATTTGCTTGTGCTAATTGAACTTGCTAATTACTGTAACTCAGTAATTTAATTACATATTATGTAAACCAATGATATAGGAAGTGAAAATGAAGTTTTATTTTTGTGATAATAAGTGGAAAGTTTAGGAAACACTCAAAAAGATCAGTTGCTTTGGGGAAAAAAAAGAGCTGTTGAATTAGGTAAAAGATGGGGAGGAAAAATCCTAAAGTTTCTTGATCCACTTTATAGAAATAAAACTGAAACCTCCAGACTATGAATTACAGGAGTTGTTTATGTAAAAAAGAGGACTACACACTACAGCCAGCAGAGCCCCACTCAAAGATTGGCAAATACATTTATATGTTTGAAACTTACTGTAAAATGTTTCATTTTCATAATTTGCCATTTTAACCAACTGCTCAATTAACTGGGAAACTTGCAGTACCCATCATGTCAGATAAGAGGGTTCCTTCTCTATTTTAAAGTCACTGAAGCTTAAATCCTGAACACAGGTGTGTCTTCATATATGAAAAATTTTTATGGAGGGTCAGATACAGGTGTTTTCATTCCTAAACTGGGATCTCTATGAAAATCCTAAGCAGTGGTGAGTCTTCAGGGGATAATAGCCCAGCTCTGTAGTGTTTGTCAATTTCAGATTCTGAACACAGATTCTGAGTGTAAGGACGTTGGAAAACAGATCACTTTAGACTCAGCAGGGTGGGCCTGGTGCCAGAAGTAAGTGCTCAGAAAGTGTCAGCTCACCATGGCTGATCTGAAGCTACCAATGTGACATCACTGAACACGTAACTGGAAAGAGATAGGCAAAATCAGCTCCAGCCCACCACTGGAGGGTCTTCAAAAAAGTAGATATACGTGGGAAGAGGGGGCAAAAAATTCGTGTGCATGGAACACTTACATGAGATGGGATGTACAGACCACACTGACACACGATCACACCGCTTGTTATTCTCAGGTTGTACCTAGAAGCAGAATTAGGATCCCAGAGCACCATAGCCAGCAAACCTGGATCCCCAAACCTTTTTAGGCAGCAAATTTGGGAGGAAATTCCACTCACCTTGGAGTGGGGGATGGAAACTAATAATGCTGAAAAGGTTTTGAAAACTCTTACTTTGTACACACAGGGCAGATGAGGGGGTTTGCTTCCCACTCAGCCAGCATGATGCTGAGACACTTTTCATCAAACTGCAAGCTCTTCTCATACTTGCTGATGATGGACTGTTCTGCAAGGCAAAAGGCAGTTGGAGTTCTTCACCATGCTTCACCAGGGTTGCCCTGTATCCAATGCTAAGCTTCACCCTCAAAAGCTTCCTCCACACGAGGGAAAGATTTGGGCAAAACCACACTACCAATCACTGGGACTTATGGCTCTCAGGCTAGCTTCACCTTGCTGAATCCTTCCCCCTCTAATCTGCCCCCTCCAAACTGCCCCATCCTTGTGAGCATGAGATGAAGTAGGCCAAGGGCAAGGAGACAACTTTCACACACATCTCTTGGGGCCATAGGAGCAGAGATGTGGAATGTCAGGGTCCCAGGGACAAATGGAGAAAGCTGACACTGAGCACTTACTTCTGACACCACACCCACCCTGCTGAGTCTAAAGTGATCTGTTTCCCAATATCTGTACACTCAAAGTCTGTGTGTGTTCATTTGGCAAACATGCAACAGTACCTGGTAGGTGTTAGTCACATGGTGCAAAGATGAAAAGACTGCCCTGAGCTTGATGAGCTCACAGTCTAGACTTTAGGGCAGGGGTCAGCAAACTACAGTCATGCTCATTTGTTAACATAGTATCTATCACTGCTTTTCCACTACAACAGGAGAGCTGAGTGCCAGAGACCACGTGGACTACAAAGTCTAAAATATTCACTTGTCTGGCCCTTCACAGAAAGTCGGCTGACCCCTACTTTAGAATGTTCTTATGGTGAGTATAGCACAACAGAGTAAACACTTATGACCTCAGATTTTTCAACTAAATGTACCCCAAAAGAAATATTTATTGAGTCCTATGTTTCACCACTAAGATAGGTTTTGGAGTGGGGGCAGCAAATCAATTTTTAAAAAATAACTTAAGGAATTTACACTCTAACTAGAGTCAATAATAACAAGCCATAACAACTAACTTGCATAGCACTTACATTGCTATTTTATGTCCTCTATATACATTAACTTCTTCACTATTAGTATCCTTATTTCAAAGATGAAGAAACCGAGGAACAGGGAAATGAAGTGCTCTGCTCAGTGCCACACAAGTTAAAGTGGTAAAGCTAAGAGGTGAACTTGGTGGTCTGGCTCAAGAGTATGTGCTCTTGCATACCCAGGACAAGAGCCATCAATTATCGAAAGCTTTCTATACACCAGGCACTGTTGTAAGTCTTCTATACATATTACTTAAGCCTTACAACAAACTTATAGGGTAGGTCTATTATCTCTATTTTATAGATGATAAAAATGAAGTCAAGACAAGGCAATATACAATAAATGACTTAATTATACAAGGTGCTAAATTATGCACTCTACACAGTACTACAAGGAGTGAATGCTCACAAGATCCTGGGGAGTCAGTAAAGAATGGGTGGAAGAGACAGCACTTCCATTGGGTACAGAAAGGAATCTGACCATCCACTGTATCCTGTAAAGTTACATGTTTACTATTAATCTATTAATAGAGAAGCAGGATAGTAGAATAAACATGGAAACTGGATTCATACAATTGATTCTGTTTCCCAACTCCACCACTTATTTACTAGCTGTGTGACCTGTGTGAGAACACCACTTTATGTTCTGTCTAATACTATCTTACAAGGTAGTCACAAGGAGAAAACAATATTGTAGAATAAGAAGTTCTTAGCACAAAGCCTAGCACCCTAGAGACCCTTATTATTGGGAAGACAGCAGAGACTTCTGGACACTTGGCTGAAGATGGAGGTAGAGCAGGGGGAGTTAAGAACTAATTCTGTCAGGTGGTTAGATAGCAGCCTCGTAATACGAAGGTCACAGGTTCAGATCCCCATACTGGCCAGCCAAAAAAAAAAAAAAAAGGAACTAGTGCCGATCCTAGGAAAGGTCAGCATTAGAGTAGCTAAGTACTTGTATGGTTAGAACGAACTACTCCCAGGTGTTACCTTGGTCAATCAGCTCCTGTTGGATTTCCTCCAGCACAGCCAGATTCACCTGCTCCTCCAACTGCAAAAGAAAGTAGAGTCATCAGAAGTTTGAAGTATTAATCAGCCACCAAGCCCCACAGCGATTTGTACTTGGAGAATGGCTTGAAGAACCCAGATTTACGTAACAAAATCCATCCAGTCCTCCTGCAGAATATGCTGACAATGGAGTAGTGTGGTCATGCCAAGAAGTCATCAATACATGATCAAACTACCCAGTGACAAAATAAAAGCAACAAATGTGGGG